AAAAATGAAAGTTCAGGGACTGAATCGGGGATATAACCTTTTTCTTTTCTCAATATTGCCAGAGCAGGTTGGGAAGACGAGTTAAAAAAGCTTTGAATTGGGTATGCGATTTTTTTGACTTTGTGGGGAAAGACAAAAAAGGATAGAAAGAAAATGAGGATTTTTGTGGTTTGAGTATAAAGATAGTGCTAGATCCTATGCGTTTCTGCTCATCGTTCTAGGGTTTCTGAACTTCTCCCTTCTTTGATTACTCCCTTTGTTCCCAACAATTTTCCAGGGTGGTTGCTGTTTGGTTTGCTAGCAAATTGTGGCCTTTTCCAGTGATTTTTTTTTTTTTTGTATTCTCTTTTCTTTGCACCTGGAAAGATGAAACCTTTCTATGGGACTATGTGCTGCTGTTGTTGATGTCTTCAAAATGTGTTTTCTTTGTACGAAGGCTGAAACTCGTTTCTTTCCTTGAAAATTTAGGATATTTTTTCTGGGTTTTCCTTCTTTTTCTGAGCTTTTAAAACCTTCCCTTGGGTTGCCATTATTAATCTCTTCAAATTTTGTAAGTTTTCTTTGCAAAGGTTGAAACTTTAGTATTAGCTACACACTGCATAGCTACACAATATATATCTGGGGACTTTGCTCAATTTTGGTGAGTATTTGTGTCTTTTTCCCTAAAAAAAAAAAAAAATCTGATCCTCCTCTAAGGTTACTGATTAACGTGGCTCTGATGATGAAGTAGAAGATGGTGAGAGGAAAAATTGTGATGAAAAGAATCGAGAATGGAGCAAGCAGAATAGTGACCTTCTCGAAGCGTCGAAATGGGCTGCCTAAGAAGGCTTTTGAGCTATCTGTTCTCTGTGATGTCGAAGTTGCAGTTACCATCTTCTCACAAAACGGAAGACTTAATAAGCTCTCAAGCTCCGAGTATGTTCTTTTCAATTATACTAACAAAGTTCTTCAATTGATTATTTCATTTTACTATATATGTTGATCATTAGACAGGTTGTGCAAGTTTGTTTTCTGTTCCTCTTCCATAAATCGCTCATTCTGTGCATCTGGACTTGGTCGATCAAAAATGTGGATCTGTACTTCCTCATTGCCATTAGGAAATTTACTATTTGCTTTGATTTTTTCTTCCTATTTGTCTTTGAGTTCATTTCTCTCGATGAAATATCAAGAATGGCTCTCATGATACGCTTTGCTGCCAGAACAAATCCATTTGGGTGGATTTTGCCTTTCTCAAACATGTCTATTCGGTTTTGCAAAAGCTTCCCTGCTAGGAACTAGAAACTGTAATTCTAGTTTTTAGCCTGCGTGCCACCATTTCTTTTTTATTAGATGAATAAAAAAATTTATTAATTTGGAGTACAAGAGATACTTCTACGTACCCATATATACCATTACATAAATCTAATTGTTACCATAATCCACAATGCCAAGATAAAGGAATACAAAACACGTTGGTTGATTCATACATGTATGGTAATACAAAACAATACAACATCTATTGGGATGCACACTGCTGCATCATCCAAGGCACCCTTTATTTTCAAGTTTCCTGAGCACAAAGGAACGCACAGTGTACCATTGATGTTAGGAAAACATACTACCTTCTGACTTACCGCCCATAGCATAGGTTCACCTTCTAATCGTCTCAAATAGCATATCTTCATCCCAAGGGTTGCAGTCGTGAAACATAAAATTTCTCCTAAACCATATTCATCATTCCACCACCAGAAATATAAAGTACCAAACCTCAGCCTTCACAAATTTCTTAATTCCTTGACTATGGAAATTGCTCAAAGGCTGTACTGATTCAGGAAGAGCAAGAGATATGCCCCACCGATTGTAACACCTCATCCAAAGCTTCTGTACTTTCGGACAAAGAACAAACAGATGGTCTTCATCTTCTAGCCTGCAACCATTTCAATTTACATATTAACTTTTAGATATTAAATCTCATGATAGTTTTGTCCCCTTTTATATATATACATATAGTGTATCATCATGTGCTTTAGGAACTGTTTTAAACCCTTCAATCTTCGCTATAAAGTTTGAGGCTGCAAAAGTAGTTATGAAATCATTGATCTATTGTAGTATATATCCTATAGATATGAGTCTAAGAAAATCGTTAGTGCGTGGCGAATTAAATGTTGCCTGTGTGTTAGAAGGAATCTGCGAATGTATGCTTATATGAGACATAGAAATCTTCCTTACTTTCTTAGCCACACGCTGTTAGACTTATTAATTTTTCATTTTATATGGTTAATTTGTCATTGTTAAGCATTCACTTTTCAAGTGCTGGGTAAATATTTATGGTTTTCTCATTTTTGTTATATATTTATGAGTTATAATTCATTTACACACAACTTTTACATAATAATCATTTATTTTTTTATTATAAATGGTGATGAATGGTTGAGAATTATAACTTTGATTATATTCTTTTAAATATAATTTTCTTTGTCATCTACAAAGTTGTCATAAATCTTAATCATTCATGGTGGAGAGATGAATGGTTAAGATTTTGTGTAACTAATGTGTGTAAGGGTTATATGAAAGTGGATCCTTACTCTCTTTATTTAATCTTTATTTTGGTGTTTAATTCATATATGTGATCAAATTATGTGTTCAAGCCAATAGTGAGACATAGGAATGATATAATCACTCAATAATGCTACAAGTGGGAAAGACACTTAGAAAAAGCAAAAATCGAACGAATTAGACATTTTGATTCTCTCTAAAGCACATATCATTACTTGAGGTGCATCTGTTAATTAGATGGTAGATTGATGAACAATATTGCCTCTGGTGTTTAGAATTAGTTAAAAGGAATCCTTGGACACATTTGTAGGGCAGAACAAATTAATCATCTTCCAATGGAGTCCAAAAATATAAACTTTTGAGTACTCGATCAGAAGCCCTAACATAAGTTTTTTGCCTCGCATGATAAGATGTTTAGCATCCAATTAGTTGCATGCATTTTACGTAGCTGGTATGTTTGTAAAAGAAAATTCATGAAATCTTTTACTTGGTTCAAAAATAAAGTTAAGGGATGCACTTCTACTCTTCGGGATTGTGCTAGACCTGTGAATGAATACAGGGAAGCTGTGAAAAGAGCGAGACAAGTATAGGATCAAGTAACTTGATTTAGCTCGAATTTATGTATTTTGCGATTTATTTGTTTTGCATGTTGAGAGAATTTTGAGGCATGTTCATGATGAGTTGGAGGACCCTTATACTCCTATTTATTATAAATTTCATTTTGTTAGCAAAAACAAAAAGAAAAAAAAAAGGAAAGAAAGAAAGAAAGGGCTCTTGGATCAATTCTTCGACGAGTTTTCTTGCCATTGAAAATCAATGAATCTAAACATAATCTTCTTTTTTCGAGTGCATCTTTGACCACTGACTCTCTGTTGTAGTCTCTTCCTTTTTTTATTTCTTTAGAAAAATTGTTGATATGCGCTCAATTCAAAGATAGTTTTTGACATTCGTCCAATTTAGCTATTAAAATATAAGTACAATTTGACTCAGTCGGTTTTTACATTTTGTATACATGATAACATTTTTAAGTTTGTCTGTCTTGAATTTCATATTAAAAAATAATGTCTTTTTAATAAGTATAATGTATAATGTGTTGAACCGGCATGTGTACCAATTAGTGTCCATTTCTTTGTATCTAAATTTTATATAAATATATATATCTACATAAAATGATGATGTATATATATAATACAAGATAGTCTTCTCCCTCTACCTCAACATTTAAATTTTAGATCTCTAACCTAAAATTTCAAGCTCTTAATTAATTCTTGGGATATCTTCTAGGGGTTGTATATAAGGTTCTCTAATGGTTTAGAGTATATAATATCTATGTTAAATTTTGACAAACAACTTCTAGCTGCAATATGTGCAATTGCTTCTTTTCTATTTGAACACATGTTTGACCTATACTAAATTTTATAAAGTAAAATTACATCACCCACTTTAGATTGATTCTTCACCTAATGCATTGTCACTGTTCATGACCAATTATTTTTTTACCAATAGTGACACAACTAACTTTTTTTAAAGGACTATCCTAGATTTTTATGATTTTTAATTTCCTCATATTTGTGATACCATATTGATTTTTATCTTTTTCATAAATCTTTAGCTTGTGCTATTTACATAATACTCTAT